GAGCGGTTCTGAATAGATTGGAGCACTGGTCAATCATCAATGGCATGAAATTTAACAAGAATAAATGCCGGATGCAGCACCTGGGATGAACTAATGCTGGAGACAAGTATAGACTGGGAGAGGAGTGGCTGGAGAGTGGCGCTGCAGAAAGGGATCTGGGGGTGATGGTTGACAGCAGGATCAATGTGAGTCAGCAGTGTGCCCTGGCAGCCAAGAGGGCAAACCATGTCATGGGTGCATCAAACACAGCATAACCAGCCGGTCAAAAGAGGTGATTATCCCGCTGTATTCAGCGTTGGTGCGGCCTCACCTTGAGTACTGTGCACAGTTCTTGGCCCCACAATTTCAGAAGGATGTTCAGGTCCTTAAATGCATCCAGAGGAGGGCAACAAAGCTGGTGAAAGGGCTGGAAGGCATGTCCTGTGAGGGGCGGCTAAGGACTTTGGGCTTGTCTAGTTTGGAGAAAAGGAGGCTGAGGGATGACCTCGTTGCTCTCTACAGCTTCCTGAGGAGGGGAAGTGGAGAGGGAGGTGCTCATCTCTTCTCCCTGGTATCCAGTGATAGGGGAATGGTTCAAAGCTGGGTCAGGGGAGACTGAGACTTGGCATAAGGAAGCATGTCTTTACTGAGAGTGTGGTCAAACACTGGAACAGGCTTCCTAAAAAGGTGGTCAATGCCCCAAGCTTGTCGGTGTTTAAGAGGCATTTGGACAATTTGCTTTAACTCTTGGTCAGACCTGAAGTGGTCAGGCAGATGGGCTAGATGATCGTTGTACGTCCCTTCCAACTGGAACTAAACTATGCTATTCTGCTCTGTTGTGTTCAGTCTTTCTGGCTGCAGTTTGTCCTATGTACAGTGATCCTACCAAATTACCTGACCAGTTGACCAGCAAGATAAAATCACTTTGCTGATCATGTCTGTCTTTCTTTGAGTTGCCATCTGACCATTACTCTTCTGAATTAAAAATCAGACATATGGGTTTTTCAGCCAGCCATATATGTTTATACCTGCTCTTTTAAAGCCTGCTTATAGGTTCTGTGACAACTGCAGTGCAACTGGTGGCTGTAATTGGTGGGAAATATGCATCTCCTGGGAACTCTGCATATCTTAAAATATCGTACTAAAGGCATTTGGAGCCTACTGGGAAAAGAGTGTGGGAAAGCCTAAAGAAGCATCTCTTGTTGCCTTAAATAGCTAAGGTATCTTGGTTTGGAGTCAGTTTTGTTTTACCTCCAAATTCTGTTCTGTATCCTTTTGTGATGTTTTAGCCCCTGGAAGAACTACATCTGGTCCTGGTCTTCCTTTCTATACCCTCACAGCTTTAGCACAAAGAGTTCTGAGACCAAATCGTGCATAATTAGCAGCAGCAGGTCTGTCTTTGGAGTGAGGAATGATAGTAGATGTTAACACTCACATCCCTACTTGGAGGAATTGAGCTGCTGCCTGATTTGCCTGGGAAATAGAGTCTGCAGAAAGTTGGATGGCAGAGAAGCGGAGTGCTTTGATGTCCCCTTTGAACTGTTCATCAACCCTCAAGAGAGTTATGGCCCACTGTTTTCAGGTGCCATGTTTATGGTATAGACTTGTTAAGGCTGAGGTTTAGTTGTGCTACTTGTGGCAGTATTGACCCTCTGCTTTTGCCACTCCAGCTGTTTGCAAAATAGGAAAAGACATGTTTCCTCCATGCCACAAAGCAATGTTTACTGCACAAAGTCTCCATGCTCTTGTATGGCTCTGTCTCGGGTGCAGGTGGCCATATCCTTTCTACAGCAGCATTTATTGTAGCCTGCAGTTGAGGGCATTAGTGGCAGCATTGTGCACCGCTGCCTGTGACTATGAGATGGAGCCCCGTGGTGTCCTGGTCTCTAGGGCAAAGCTGGTGACCTGTCTTTTTTGCTCAAGCAGTCTAGAGGGAATCATCGGTGTAAAGGTAGGTGGATCACTGAAGGATGGCATGGTGCAGTTTCTAACTGAAATGGAGAGCACTGAGAGCTTTTACCCCTGCTGTCCCATGTGTGGGTGTGAAATAACCCAAGAGGAATCACCAGGACGTGCTGGATTTTGCAAGTTTCCATCTCTTTCTTGGGGAACATTGGCTTGTTTAAGGGTTCTGCCCTCACAGTTGCCTGCTTTTCCCATCTGACACCACCTTCCTGGTGGCCGTAACATGCTGAAGACTGGGAAGGATGCTGGTTTTCAAACTTTGTCTGGCATTAATTCCCTGTTTAATGTGAATGATTCTGCTTCAGTCTTGCCTGCTGATTGCCTTCCTTTCCTCCTTAAACCTCATTCTTCATCAGCAAAGATGAGGCTTCTTGTGCAGGATGTGCTTAGAGCACTGTCATTTATCCTAAGGTAGGGTTACACCAAGTGTCTTCTTACTGAGTCTGTGTCTGGACCCTATGAAAAGGAGGACAGACAGAGTCCTTCTGTGAGCTATCTGAGTGGGTTCCGGACAGTCCTTATATGAGAATGAGTAATGTAAATTCGCTTACCTTCATTCTGCAATATGTTGTCCACACACATTTCATGAGCCACCCTTGTTCCAGCTTGTTGCAAGTCCTGATGTTGGGGATTCTTGTTTGTCACAGAAATGGATGAGCTCTTACAGTGGCACAGACACTGATAAAGCAGTCCAGCCGTGTGTGCTTTGGATGCACAAAGAATTTAATCTATGCCACATTTCAGAGAACCCCGTTTGCTTGAAAATTGATAGCTCTTTTAACTGTTACTGGGTATCTTTTCCAGCTCATATCGGGACCTTAACACACACTGTTGGAGGCACTCCTGTTTCTGACACTTAAGCATCCTTTTCTGATATTATTTGACATGTGTGCCATCATCTCTCACCCATCATACAATATGTGGGATGAGGAAGAACCAATTTAAATTTGTCATTCTCTTCTCTTTTCCCTCCCTGTTGCATTTTTATTTTTTGCTGATACACAGTCTGTTGATTTGCATGTAGCATGGGAACTAAGGCTTAGAGATGGTGTGTTTATCTTTTTGCTTTCTGCTTTAGCAAGAAGAGATAAATAAACCATCCTGCAGTGTTTAATGTGACGTTAACAGAAAGCGATTAGACAAATAATTGCCGATGAATAGCTCTTTTATGTCATTGGATGTGACAGTGAAATACCTCTTTTTTTTTTGAGTGATTGTCTGTGGTTGTAATTAGTAATCTGATCTTTGTAATTCCTTAGCAATGTAATTAGCAAAAATACATTTGGATTAATCCAAATGTAGTTTAATATTCCTTGGGTTTTTTTTTTTTTTTTAATTCCTTTATATTCCTTTATACACTAGAGGGTATAAATAAATCACAGAATTAATAAAAAAAAAATTAAAAAAAGTCCTCCTCATACAACAAATATATGCGTGCGTATGTATATATATAAAAACCAATATGTGCGTGTATATACATATATTAAAAAAAGAGACTATCCCAGCTGTTTGTGAAACCCTAGCAGGGGAAGCTTCTACAGTTCAATTTGTTGTGAACTGTTCAGTTCCGTTGTCGTCTGATTTAATAGTAAGCAAATTAACTGAAAGTATGAAGTAAATCAGCAGATTCTTAGACCAGCAGTAGTCAGTCATTGCTGGGCCTTTTCTGAAGAGTTGTGATTATTTTGGAATTTAGGTATGCGAATGGAATAATAGAAAAAGAAAAAATAGCTGTCATTTAATTGAGTTCTTAAAAGACCATTTTGGTAAGTCTGATGTACAAGAAATTTTGCTT